GAATTGGACAATAATTATGATAATTCATCTATTACATCTCCTCCATCTGAAAGTTCTAATTCATTGATATTTCACATATAAATCAAATAAATGATATATATATAATGAATCAAGTTCTTCCATCAGTTCATCATCAAACAATGGAATTATTGGTTTGAAGCACTATATGATGAGACTTTTAATGATACTAGTGATGAAAGTGATTTGGATGATCCAAAAGAATTAAAAATTCTGTTAAAACATAGGGTGCATCCAGCTGCTAATAAGAGGCCAAATGGAAATTAGCAAGATTATTTAAACTTGGATCAAAATCCCAAATTGGTTGATGTCATTACTTTCAGAAAATACAATATTAGAAATTTATAAAAATAATTAAAGTTAAAATTAATTTAGTTTTTCATTAACAAATAAAAATAAAATATATTGGTTCCATCAGTTCAAGTGATCCATTGCTGTTTCCAGTGGTTCCAGTTTTTCCAGTAGTTCCATTGGTGTTCCAGAAAAAAGTCACTGGAACACTGGAACTGGAACTGGAAAATTTGTTTCAGTGTTCCTGTTCCAGCAACTTTCCCAACACTGGTATAATCATCTCAACAAGCAAAAGAACTTGAAGCCAGATTGAGGAAGAGTGGGATATAAATTCATTGGATATTTGATTGAAAACATCCTCAAAGAATTTAGGCCTGTGTCTCAGGTAAAGATGGCCAACAAGCAAAAAAATTTCAAGTCTTAAGACAAATAAGAAAAATCAAAATTTAAAGTAGTTCTTTTTTTATATTTAATAGAGTTCTAGACATATTAGAAATGTGAAATTATATATGGTTATTTATTTATTCATTCATCAGAACCTAAGCTATTGAATGATGCAAGTTTTATATGGTATATTTTTAATATGTACATTTTACAAAAATATTTTTGACAAAGTAGAAACAGAACTCAATATTTTGAAAAAATGTCTCTAATCATGCATGATAAAATTTTAGTCCCAATCTAGTTGGTATTCAAACATCAAAAAGTTAAAATATTGGAAATTAATATCTATAAGTATGGGGTCTTACAAAACAACTTTATTTGGTAAACAAAATTCACACATAAATCTAAGGGTGCAAACATATACATCAGGAAATTTTCCCTGCCGCAAT